GGCATGAGTTTTCCCTCCTGCTTCCCGGCAGCCCGGGGAGGGTTTCACCCCCCCTGCAGCGTTTCTGCCTGCTCGGCTGTGCCCTCCGGACCATCCCATCCCATCCCGTCCCTCTGAGCGCTGCCCCTGCCCTGCCCGCTGCCGCCTGCGGGAGCAGCGCGGAGCCCCCGGACACAGGTGAGGAGGCTGTTTCTGTGTTCACCTTGGTTCTGGGCAGGATGAAGGCAGGTTTGGTGGCTGGTGCTGAAGCTGCGCTCTGCCAGGGTTTGGGTTTGCTGCAGTGTGAGTGTTGGTTTCCTCTCAGGCTTTGTGTCTACAGTGCAAGTGCAAGATCATAGAACTATCCAGGTTGGAAAAGCCCCTTGGGATCACCAGGTCCAACCATCATCCCTGCTCTGCAAAGTGCTCCCCTAAACCATCTCCACCAACATCCAAACAGCCCCTCAACACATTCAGGGATGGTGACTCCACCACCTCCCTGGGCAGCCTGTTCCAGGGTCTGACCACTCTCTCTGTGAAAAAATTGTTCCTCATGTCCAGTCTAACCCTGCCCTGGTGCAGCTTGAAGCCCTTCCCTCTTGTTCTGTTGCTAATTACCTGTGGAAAGAGACCAGCACCAACCTCTCCACAATGACCTTTCAGGGAGTTGTAGAGACTGCTGAGGTCTGATGGGTGTGGGGGAAGAGCTTGAAAGGGTTTTTCTTATGCTACAACTGCTTACTGTTGCTGGGGTCCTGAAAATATTCTTCAGGGGTACAACTGGAGAGGCAAAGAAGACCAGGGGAGGGGAATGCTTCTACCAGTCCCTGCTATCAACTTTTGGGCCTCCTTGCATGCTATATACCCAGCTGAACGTTCAGTATGAGTGGATGTGAAGGAAGCAGGTGTTGCCCCTACAGTGTACGTGGTGCAGCCACAAATCCAATAGTCTCTGAAGCCCTACACAATTGTGTTTTGCTTTCTTGAATTGCTGTGTGTCCAAAACCCTGTCCTACAAACCCAGCAGTGCTTCAGAGTGGTCTGAAGGTAGCACAGGAGGAGCTGGCTGGTAACATACCCTGAAAGGAGGGGTGTGTGACATACAGGAGAGGGCCTGAAGGGGGAAGCAGCTTGCTTGCAGATGCACTGAAGGCAAACCTCTCTCCAGGTGGAAACGTGCCTTTCGGGGGGGACACTGGTTTTGCACTGGATATTCTGCCCTTGTTCATGTCAGTGGGTACAAGTTTGGGCTTTGTGCTGGGTTTTCCAGCAAAACTGCCTGAGAGTAGATGGCAAGACATGTTGTGTGCTTGTCCTGCCAACGCTGGGCAGGAGCTCAGCTGCATGAACCCTGAATATGAAGATATAGCTGAAGCCCTCTTGATGAGCTTGTTTCTGTAGGTGTAAACTCAGTGCTTCGCTTAAAATGTCATTTTTGTTGCTAATATGTGTCATAGTGTTTAAATGAAAAGCATGATTCTTCCATGCCCCCTCTTAGTGCTGCTTGTACCAATTACTAACCAGTGTTCCCTTCCAGTACAAACCAGTATAACCCTCCCATAATAGATATTCACACAGGGGAGAAAAAATAATGTAGGGAAGGTGTTTGTGCCACAGTTCTCAGCAGGCTGTCTGGAAGACCTGGGTGCCAGGAGTCAGGGGGAAACACCATTTTTCAAGCAGGGATACATTTGTCTTGTAAAGTAGCAGCACAACTCGCTGTGCACTCTGTCCAGGCTGCCCCTGCCTGACTCCCCAGAAACTCTGCTGTGAGTGTGCACTGCCCACATGCCTTTCTCTTTCTGTACTAGGATCCACAAACTCTATTTACTTCTAAAGAAGTTAGGAGAAAAAGTAGCCATCTTCTCCTTGCAAGGAGTTAGTCAGGCTACAGATGCTCCTCTTGCACCTGCTGCATGAATCCATTCTCTGACAGTTGCTTGGTTTTGTTTTTTTACAACATAGTGTGACCCTCAAGAAAGGCAGAAATTGGTAGTGATGTTCTATGTGGTTAATAGAGATAAAAATCCATCACACCAGCTCGTGAAGCAGCATCTTAACTGAAGGCCACTGGGCTTTTTTGAGCAGTGGGGAGTCCTCTCTGGCTCAAGGGACAGTTTCTTGTGGCCAGGCTGAGCCGTGTTTGGGCCATGGCCCAGCAGCTCGGTGCCCCTGGGGCTGAGGCAGCCTCAGCTCACTGCTCCTACAGGAGATGCTGGCACCTGCATGGACCAGGCTGCCAAAACACTCACTGGGGCTTTGGTGCCCTAAAGCAGCTCACGCTGTGGTGCTGCCCACCCTGCTGCCAGCCTGGTCCCACGGCCCTCCCCTGGCCTGGTGCCATGTGAGGTGCTCACCTGCCACAGCAGTGACGTTGTCACCCGGGTTCAGGCAGTGAGCTGCTGTCACCACCCACTTCTCGTTGATGATGGACCCACCACAGAAGCCCACGTTGTGGCTGTTCACCAGGTAAACCTGTGGGAGCAGAAGGAAATCACACCTGGGGGTCCATGTGAATCTTGGGGGAAGAGGAGCTGAATGCAGGGGGGTGTTTGGCTGTAGGACAGGCTGTGTTTAGGTGGTACAGAGCCAGTGCTGACAGAGATGCTGCTCCTCTTGGAGTCCCTGTCCCTTGCTCTGTGGTGGCCAACACTGCCCTGTTCCTCTTCTCCTTCCTTGGCTGCAGCCTGGGAGGGGATAGTGCTCAGTGCAGAACTTGGAGCATCTGAAAAACAAGCACTTCCCTATTGTATTGCTAGTGACTAGATCTTAATTAGTTAATTTGGGACAAAATCCTTACTATCCTTCCCATTTGGGGATCTAACTACCTCAGCAGTTGCAGGGCACAAACCAGGACATCCCTTATGCCAAGAATTATAATTAAATTGCTCGGCTGACTTGGTGACCTGTATTCAAAAGAAGGATTTCTTCATAATTCATCCATCCTGTTCCTTTCACATGACATGGCTTGTCACTGCCTATCTGCCTCCTTAACATGAGTTTACTCATTTAATGCCTTGTTAGGCAGAGTTGTTTGTTTGTTTAAACTCTTCATTTTAAGGAGCTCAGTGTCCATAATGAAGAGAAAGCAGCTTGTCCATGGCAAGGAGCAGCTGCCTCCATGCCCACAGCCATCCCTGATGTCCCCCAGGGACTCTGCCCCAGGCCCTCTGGGCTGGCAGTGCAGGGTGCTGGTGCCACCATGGAGCCCAGCACCCGTGTGTGGCTGTGGGTGTAGGACTGACCCTGGAGCAGCCACAGAGGAGACACTGCCATGGGTTGGAAGGCCCAACACTGTGATCTGAGCCCCACAGCCACCCCCAAAGCCCAGGGGAACAGGACACCCTCTGGCTGCTGCCTGAATCCCAGCAGGCTCCTGCACATCTTCATTTGCAGACTGGGCAACCAGGGTTTCTTTTCAGAGGATGCCTGATGAGGTGTCCATGGACACAGTCAACTAGCTGGGCTTGCAGTGTGTGAATTTACTTTCTTTAGGGATACTGATTTCTCATCTTTAGCTTCCTGGCTCTCTGAATGTGGTGGGCACCAGCATCACCTGTCCCACAAATGGCTCTGCTAGAAAGGCTTGTGTGGCTCAGGGAGTGGTATGGCCACTTGCTTTCACACACAAAATGGGACCTCCCAATAAACCTTCTGCTTCTGGTGGCCATGGATGCTCCCAGAGCTTTTTTAGCTCTGAACTGGAGGGTAGATTCCTGCTCCTGACCTACCTGCAAACACTGTGCTCACTGCTGTGCTCCCTCAGCAGACACAGAAGGATCAGCTGTGTGAGTGGGTGTTTATCTCCCTATGTGGGCAACTTTTCATTGACATCACCAGTGTCAGTCTGTACCAGAGCTTGCGACAGAAAGAGATTTGTCATTCCTAGAATCTCATCTGGATTTATTATTTTGCACTCTCAGCCACTGAGATTTCTGTTCTCACTGAAGCCAGAGTAGAATTTAAGGGCAGTGAATGACTGAAAGAGAGCCAAGCTTGGAGCTGTCTTTGCTTTTGAAAAGAATTTAAACGTATTTGCAGGGTGGTGGGTGGGCTGGAGGAGGTTTCTTTGCCACTCCTGCCTCACCTGTGACGTTACTTTTGGTGAGGCAGAGATGACTGTGACGTTGCAAGTAGGACGTGGGGTTGGATAACTAAAGAGCAGCTGGATTTGGTAGATGTCATACCAGGACAGATCCTTTGTTGGTGTGAATTATGATGGATCTGTTGAAGCTGATGGAACCAGAAAAGGAGCTGCATCGTTACTTGCAAAGCTCCCCCTCAGCCTTCAGCTTAGTCTTGGTAAATTTGGGAGCTAGGGAGGAATCTGCTGCTGCAGCTCAAGAAAGAATCTTTTGTACCCTGCCAGATAAAGCTGCTGAGACTCTGACTTCTAGCTTGTTTGCAAGGGTGGGCTGCCAGCCGGGCAGCTTTGGTTGCTGGGGTATAAAATGTAGGGTGAACGTGAAAAAATAATGTAAAGAGGTAAAATGTAGAAATGAGTGGTCCCTGCGTTCAGAAGGAAAGAGCAGAGAGAGCAATTGCTGGGGTTCCAGGACAGGAGAGCTGCAGAAAGAGGCAGTACCTGCCAGGGCACCTCTCCCCTCCTGCTGTCTGACCCGCCGACCACGCGTGTGCCAGTCTTGATGATGGGGGTGATCCTCGTGGGGGCGGCGGGGCCGCGTTCCGTGGTGTTGTCGAGCGCCTCGTGATCATCATCGTGGTCGTTGGTGCTGATGTTCCAGTGCTCGAAGGTGTTTATGGCCCTGGTGAGCTTGTTCTTGGCTTCTGGAGCCGTGATCCTCCCGCAGGGGTAGGGCACTGGGAGAGGAACAGGGTTAGGACCGGCTGCGTGTCCTGCTGGGACTTGCACCAACTGGAGGAGCAGGTGAGGAGACAAATGGTGCCTCACCTCAGGGTCCTTTTTGGGGCCTGACACAGGAGATTCATGTCTGTGGGATGACTCTTGTGCTCTCCAGGCCAGCAGCTGCCTGTGCCTTTGGGCAGCAGGGTGGGTGATATGCAAGAGTAGCACAAGCATAAGTTGTTTCTGGGCTTTAGAAAAGAATGTTGAACAGCTTTGAAAAGGCAGAAAGCTGGTGAGAGAGTGTAGGTGTGGGGGGCTGGTGCAGCTGTGCCTGCACCTCATGGGCTGCTAAGGTGCCACTTGGCTGGCATTCCTACAGCAGATAACTCCAGCACAATAAAAGTCCAGCTGGGATAGGGCAGGAAATAATATCTGCCAGTTGTACAGATAATCCTACTTGGCACCAAGGTAAGGAAAACATTAGTGAACTCTAGGAAGAGTTGTAGATTTTCTCTGTTAATGAAGATCTCATTTGCAAGCTCATTTCAGAGGAGCTCTTCCCATTTCTCTCTTACTCAGTGTGTGCTGAATGCCTGCTGACAGTGGCAGGCAAAGTAGTAAATAGCATCAGGCATTGTCTTTCAGCTAAAAAGCTTTTGACATCACTGTGCAAACAAACATTAGTGTAAATCAGAAATAAGTGTGGCCTACTGAGATGTCTTTTTTTTTTTTCTTCACAGTTCATTTTAGGAACAGGGCTCAAGTAAGTGTTGAGTGATGGGAAGTGCTGCCCGTGAGGTTAGGCTAGGAAATGAAGGTTTCAGAGCCAACAAAAGCCTAAGCTTTTGCAGGAAGGGCAATTACCCAACCTGAAAGATGATCTTATTGCTAACAATAAAACTTTCTGGTCCAGTGGCAGCAATACAGCGTGTTGGGCAACACAGGCTGAGCTCTTAATGATCTCTAGCAACAGAAGAACTTCCTAAGTTACTTCTTACACTGACTGCTGAAAGTCAGTGCTTTCAGGAGCTCAGTGTTGCTGGCTGTAGCTATCTGACCTTCAGGAACTAAGTCACCTGTGCAGGTTCCTGAGTGCTAGCTTAGGTGTGCAAACTTCTTAGCCTCTGGTGTCAGAAATACAATCACATCATGTTAAATTCAGCTTAGATGACAATTTTCTTTCTCTATTCAACCTTCTCTGTCCTCTACCAAATGTGCTGCTGAGGTCTTTGTACTCTAACTTGCTGCATGGTGATGGGTTGGGATTGCACAGCCTAGGAGTAGGGTGGGACTGGGCAGTATAACAGGAACCAGCTATTCTTTAGTCCTTTTTGAGGTTGCAAACTCAAGCAATGCATTTCCCCTCCAGCCCTCAGGCTGCCTTGCTATCTTGTTCCTCAAAGCCACAGCTGAGCCATGGAATCTAGGTCCTGTTGAGGGTCTTCATGTGCAGTTACACACTGGTGGGGGGCAGCACCACCACCAAGCTTGCCTTGTCTCCACCCAGGTCAGGCAATTAGAAGATGCTGTATGATGCCCAGCCATCAAATGGTATACCAGGGGGATTTACAGTAAGAAAGATTGTCTTTTGTTCTGAAAAAGCCCAGAGCATTCTTGTTGTAGGATCAGTAACTAAATGGTAGCTCTTACTAGGAAAACTTGGGAGTGAGCTCTGGCTGGGTGGGAACCAGTGTGTATTCTAGGGTAGCTGAAAGTAATTTTTCTGTCTCCAGAAAACTACTGATTCATACCTAGAAATATAAGATGGATGCAAGTGGGAAAGGTGCCTGTGTGAATAGCCATCTGAAACAGGGATTTGTCTTGTGGACAAATTCCCAGACACCTGCCTCTCTTCTCCACCCACCTTGGCTAAAAAAACCCAGTGTTTAGATTGCATCCTTCAAACTTGACCCCACATCTGCTATTGGGAATTTGTAGGGTCAGGCTCTTTATATTTGCTAAGCAGGGAAACAAGGCTGGTTTCCAGCAGGATATTGCATTTCTATGAGATTCATGTACCTAAATGCAGGAATAAACCTTGGAAACTTTCACCAGATCTCTTAAAAAATACTTAAAAAGTTAACCTGTAGGTTCACAGGACTTTCCATCTTCATGAAGTCTGTAGCCAGTGGCACAGGAACACACAACTTTGTTGGATGGGTCGTGCCTGCAAAAGTGCTTGCAGCCTCCATTCTTTATAGCACAAGTGAAGTCTGAAAGAAAGTAAAATTAACCTGTGAAAGCTCTTTGAAAATATAATGGATCAGAGGTTTGTTGGGTCTTTGGACTCAGCCTGCACCCCATTCTGGTTCTCCCAGACCATGGAAAATGGTCACTTGCTTACAGGGACTCTCCTCCTTTCCAGTCGTGTGCCTCCTCATCGTGAAGGAGCACTGAGCACCTCTTTGAGAAGGCAGGTTGAGGAATGGCCCTATAAGAGGTCCTGCCAAGTCTTGGTGCAGCCTCTTGCCTCCAACAGCTGTGTGCTGTCTGAACTTGGCAGCCTGATCCTAAAGGACTGTTGCAAATATTTGGTCAGGACCCACGTGATTTCCCTGCCATGGTGCTGCTCTCCTCCCTCCCCCCACAAGGTGCTTATGGCATCCAGTCCCACTGCTGATCCTTGCAGAGAACACCAGGTGTCCAATGGGAGCAAACCCTGAACCCAGGAAGGGCTTTGTCCTGCCATTATTGCTGGGCTCCCATTTTAAAACCTCAAGCAAAGCCATCTCTTCTTCCTGACACAGCAATAAATCATGGCAGGCTGATGTGGAAGACCCATTTCAGCAGGGTGTTTGATGGAACTGGTCCCAGCCCAAGGCACAGCAAAATTCCTGTGATTTGTGCTTCTCTTCTTGCACTCCTGTGTGGTGGGAAAACCACCTCTTGGAGGTAGGAAACCACTAATCCACAGGCACCCTTTAAATTCTCAATGAGTTTTCAAATAACTTCACAGCAGATTAACTCCACTCCTACTACCTCAAGGACACCTCCCTTCCTGTAGCCATTTTAATGCCATCATTTACTATTTTTACAGGGCTCCTTTTCACGCCTCACTTCTAGTGCTATTTTTGTGCCTGTCTCACTTCCACGAGAAATCTGCAGTGAGACTATTTAAATTTGATGCAGCTTTGAAATGCTCTTTTTAACACACACTCCTCTCTTGCCAGAGCAGAAGCACAACTAGAAAGAGAATCTTTTATTAGTGCAGTGAGTCTAGCACATTATGCGAGTTGCACAGCCCCTGATTATATTATAAATCTAAGAGCTGAATATCTTGCTTAAATTATCAGCTGTTTGGTTTTCATAAATTCCTCAGCCCATCAGGAAAATATTTGCCTTTTGTTTGCCTTTCGAGTCAAGGTTGCTGGTGATAATTATAATAATTTAGCCAAATGCCATTGAGGGGAGATTGTGATAATCCTGCCCCCCCTGGCTTGGGGAATGGAGAGGAGGGGTGGGAGCACAGGGTCCCATCAGGGTTGGGTCAGAACTGTTGCTTTCAGTGGGTGAGGGAGTTATCCCTGATTGACAAGCAGCCCCAGCAAGGCTTGTGCTGGGGAGATAAAGGAAGGTCTCTGTGTCAACATTTGCTCTGGCAGCCACAGGGACCTGAACAAAAGACCTTGAGCCTTAGTGCCTGTTAAACCCTGTGTCCAATCAAGCACCTTGGTGGTCGGCAGAGGTGGAGCTGGGGCTCCACCAAGGGCAGGAGAGGACAGACATCTGCTCCTATATGCCCTATATATGTATCTTATATGCCCCCCTGCAATCCCACTGCTGAGGGGCTGAATTTACACTTTCACATGGTGCCCTGCAGCAAGGCAAAGTGTGTCCCAAACAGTCCATGAGCAGGATGAAACTCTGTGCCTGCTTTGATCTGATGGGATTTCATGTAGGGCAGAGCAGGCACAGGTCAACCCCCAGCACTTACCTATCTCACAGTTTCTGCCTTCATACCCAGGTGGGCACCAGCACACATAGGAACTTATTGCATCCTTGCAAAAGCCTCCATTTTTGCATGGATTGGGGTCACACTGATCTCCATCTTGGAGAGAAGACAATAGAATTAACAAACTTGAGCACCCACCAGGGCTGGTGCCAACCAAGCACTGGAGCTTTGCTCTGTGCAAGCCTCCTGTTACAGATGAGCAGAAGACTCCACACCTTTCTTCTTGGTAATGGAAAATAAGTCAGATCCTGGCACCCAAGAGCACAACAATGTCCATGCTGGGGTAGCAGCAGCATTTTACTCCAAGTCCTAATTATGGACACTGTCCTGCATGAGTTAACTCTGCTCACTTCATCAGAACTCCTCTTCAGTCTCCCTCATGCAACATCTCAACAGGCCCTTGTGTCTTGGTTGAATTAGACAAAATTAGTAGCCTTAATTCTTCAGCAGTAGTTAGGATGCCCTAATCTGAATTATTTTAATACTCTTGTCTTCGTTCTCTGAAGGTTTGGGCCTGTCTGCTTGGGTTTGAAGACCTCTCTGTGTTTAGGATTCAGGGCCTCTGTGACTGCTCTTTCTTTCTAAGCCTTGTGCTACTATTAATTGGTCTAGATTTTTCTTGGCGTGTCAGGGCTTTTATTTTCACAGTTGCCTACAGCTGAGAAGCTGAGGTTTTAATAAAAATATCCACTATTGCAAAACTAGTGATCTAACACTTTGAGACAATAAGTCCATGATGTTAAATGACAGGGAGGTGTGCTTTGAAATGCTAATGCAGAGACAAGGAGGACGGGGAATGTCTTGATGGGTTCCTGCACTCCCAGTTAAGGGTGGCTACGAGGAATGGGCTGGAGTGCAGAAGACAGATTGCAAATGTGGACAACATGGTTTTGCCTTGTCTAAGTCAGGGTATTGGTGTTTGCACATAAGGTGTGGGTTGTGGCTGTTGTTGCTGCCTGGTGAGGGCAATTGGAGCTGGTACCACTTGGGTGCTGGACCAGGGCTGAGCTCCTGTGGGCTGCACG